GGAGCTCCTCTTTTAAACTTCCAGAAGGTGACAAAGTCTGACTACATAGGCGAAGTTTTATTGACATCCAGGCATCACCTCCAGCCTAGAAGCTGCTCTGTCCTTTCAGATGCTAATTGGTGACCATATGTCTGACTGAATTCTGAACACATCTTTACCAATTCAATACTGGGCAATTTTACACCTTCCTGCCCAGGCCAGTTTTCAGGTTTCAGTGCTCTCACACTTTGAATGGCAATTGCACGGTCATACAACATTGTACCTAAACTAAAATTTTATCATTTTCTTCACACAACTAGAGCTTTCTTTTGGTGGTATTTAATCACCGCTGGGGTTTTTATTTTCTGCTAAATTAACAAAAAAAAGACCAAAAATTTTGAAAAGAAAGAAAAAAAAAAAAAAAAAACCACACACGTTTCTGCTATAAATGTTTGCAAATAAATAATTGTGCTTCATAAATGTAGGCCAAGATGTATTCTGCTACATGTCTTTGGTGAAAATAACCTAAATTAGGATGTATTTTTTAGTTTGTAGGAAAGTTATAGAGTTCACAAACTATGGTATAGATTTGAATATTGATCAATCCTGAAGTACTGACAGCCAATCTAATTTCTTGAAGTCCAAGAACGTCAGAACAGTACAGATATCCCCCAAATGACCCCTTTTTGCAAAGTAGACAGTCTGATGTACTTCATAAGAGGCATGGCGAGTTTTTTTTTAAGTATTTGTCATAATTTTTCAGAAAATGGAAAAAAAAAAAAAATTAGTTTCACTATTTGTTTTTTTTACATATTGTCACCAGTGCAGTACAGCATCATCATGTAACTGGCATGGCAGTAATCAGGGACACTGACTGGTGAAAGTATGAAAAAAAAAAAATATTTTTTTTTTTATTACCTTTTTTTTTTAAGATTTTTTTCATATTTCACTATGACCAAAGTAGTACGTTACCACAGTAACATTGTACCACTTTGGGAACGTGAACAGTATTTACACAAATTTGCTTATAGCAAAGAATTATTTTGCTATAAGCAAGCATTTACCTGAATGACATCAATTCATTCAGGGTTTTTTTTTTTTGTGCTTAGCTGTGATTTGGCCACAGCTAATCACATGACATGTGCATGTGATTAGCTGTGACCATTCACAGCTAGACACTAGTATACAATTGATGGCATGAATGAAGCCATCCATTGTATACAACTGTCATGTGACCTGCTGTAATTGGTCACAGCAGGTCACATGGTACCGGCAACAGGGGCCAATACTCAGATTGGTTATCGGCCGTGTCCGAGGTACACGGCCGGTGACAGGCAGCACGGCTCTGCAGGAGCACAATCTGTGCATGTGCGGGAGGACACCATATGGCGTCCACCCGGAACGCTAATGACGTTTGCTGGCCGCCATTTGGCCATAGGGCGGGCGGCAAATGGTTAACATGGAATGAAGGTAAATCATGTCATTTCTACTGATCACATCTCAACTACCCGAACCTTACATTTATGTTACAGGAGCAGTCTAGCAATTGGCACACCCTTCGAGGATTCCTCCAACTAGAACCCCGGGGTACACTACTCTTCCACTATCAACACCCCCCACACATAGTAGCTTGCCACCACACCACAGTTTACACAAAGACTGGTCTGCTGGGACACCACACAGATCTGCTACTTTACAATCTGCCAAAATGCAGTGCAATGTTATACAGATTGGCAATGACCTTAGACCGAGCACATAGATACTACAACAATCTCTCCGGAGATCTGAGCCCAAGCCTAGTACACAGAAGTCACTTATTCATTGAATGATTTAATTAATATCCCTAAAGTGGGCGGAGCATAAAATATGTACAAAGAAAACCCAGTTACAGAAGATTAAGACACAATTTGCTCTTCACTGAGATAAACCAGAAACAGTTTCCCAAGATTTATCCTTTGGCTGGGGAACGTCCAAATCATCCATTATCCACCAACCAGAGGGACTGGCTCAGTACAAAAGTGCCCCATAGACTGAATTGGGTGGTGAGATCTCCACAATGGAGAGCCCCTACAATGTAACAAACATCAGAGTCTGATAGTCATGTATGGACCTGGATGATGTGTTTGTTATCACTTGAACTGCAAATCCATCCTTGGAACGTGGACTTTGTGCCAAGAACTGTGTTGGGTATTGTTCTGTGCTATACATGGATGGCAAGATTGTCTCCTCGTGGATTTATCCCAGAGGAATCCTTCTCAGGCGTGAACTTGGATGGATTATATTGGCATTTAGTATTCACCTCCGATGATCATCACCCCTTCCCCTCCCCCTTATACTATGGGATCAGTAAACTAACCATTCAGGAATATCTAAAAAAGGAGATTGTACAACCAGATTGTGTCGTGTGTGCACCAATCTTGGAAGAATGCTGATCCAGGGACTTGGACCAATCTAAAGCTAGCCATCTGCAGGTGAATTCCCATATGAAGGAAATCAATAGATTTCAGTGATACCAGCAGAGACCCAATCCAGTCTGGAGAATGTGCATGATGGGCAGAGCCTTACACAGCTCTTTAGGCCACACCCTCTGACATGTTTTACCCACTGCAGTTTAGTCATAGAGGTGAAGGGCACAACTCTGTCCTGCCTCTCTTTCCCCTAAGCTGCTGTGGGTGAAACATATCAGAAGGTGTGACCTGCAGTGGTGTAAGGCTCTGCCCATCTTAGACATAGCACAGTCTGGATTGGGTTGAGCAGCGATTATGCTACACTATTGGATGGCGATGTTCATTCTTGAGGACATCTCCTTTGCTGAAGGCGGCACTACAAGTATCAGATCAGAGGCAGGACCATCAATTGGAAAGTTTGTCAAAATGTTCCATTCTGAAGTTAAGAAGAAAAAAAAAAAAAAAAAAAAAAAAAAAAAAAAAAAACACCCCACCACATTTCTGGTCTTTGGATTTTGTCACTATGGCTGAAAACGATCGTCCCCTCTATTAGGGGATTCAGATCTCAGATGGATTTCTAGGAGGGTGGCCAGTCAGGGAGGAGTTCCTCCTATGGAGGAATGGTCTCAGCAGGTGTGGGGGGAGCTCCTGCCTCTGGAATAAACCTGCAGATATGGGCCTTGCCACAAGTCATGTGACATCACTACAAAAATTTCTCCAGAGATCCCTACCTGGCATGTCCTGTACCCAAGGGACATCATAGGGCATGCTCAGAGTCATGTGACACCAGTCACAACTCCTTAAGTCCTACAACCCCAGTGACACCATCAGTTGTCAGGACAAGTAATGCCATGGATCCAAGTCATGTGACACCACCCTCCAAAATTGTGACAGCAGTGAAATCACTCACCAAGTCATGTGACACCACCACTCCCTGGGTCATACAACCCCATTAACATCACTGCTAGCCATGGCAACGTAATGCCATGCGACACCACCACACCCTGGGTCATACAACCCCAGAGACACCACCACACTATGAAGTAATCACACAATTTTGCTTTCATTCAATGCTCTTTATTAAACAAAACCTTTTGATAAAAAAAAATATAAAAAAAAAAAAAATAAGTCTAGTGCAAACAAATCCGTCATAATAGGGCTTGGGGCCCCAGAAGGCACTTGGGTGGGGACACAATCTACAAGCACAGCAGCTGCTGACATTTCTGGAATTTTAACTGAAGGCAGTTTTTGTTTTGGATGGAGCAGCAAAGGTGAGAGCCCCAGGTAGGTTCATGCCAGCCTTGGCCTACTGGCGAGATTTCCCATCACTTCCTGTGCTAGGATACACAACAGGAAGTGAGTGGAATCCTGGCGTCACCAGAACAGGAAGTGGAGCTCTTCCAATGGGATCACCCATCACTTCCTGTCCAACAATGGTCACCAGCTCACCGTGGAGACAAACTTCCTCTACTCCATCCAGAACGAGCCACCAATAGAAAGCTTTACATTAAAGCGCACTGCTGCAGAAAGGATGAGGGGGGGGTCCACAAAGTGATCATCCTCAGATTAGGTCATTCCACTCAGAGGCGCAGGAGGTTAGGAGAGAGAATCGTGCAGTTATCAGTGGAGTAGTCCTAGGTGGGGATGAATGATCACCTCCCCCTGTAATCTGAGGCGTGCCCTGAGTCTTTGGTGTCCAGAGGTGTATAAGGTGCAGTGTGGGGGAGGGGCTGTCACCACAGAATACCTGTAAGAGAAGAGAAGTTAATTACCACTTCTTATCAACACCATTAACTGCTCATCCTAGAGGGCCCACCAACCACCACTACTCATCCTATAGGGCCCACCAACTGCCACCTCCCACTGCTCATCCTGGAGTGCCCACCACCTACTGTACTTTCCCAGAGTGCCCACAAACCACCATTCATCCTGGAGGGCCCACCAATGATAAACTTAAAAAGGGGGTCCAGATCCAAGACTACAACCCACTACTCATTGTGAAGGGCTTACTGACCACTACTCATCTTGGAGGGTCCACCAACTCTACCACCCAAAGCCCATCCTTAACAAACCCACTGCTCATCCTGGAAGTCTCAAGGCTCCAACTACACATGGAGGGCCCCACCAACTGCCACTCACTGCTTATCCTGAGGCCCACAACTCTAAAATCCACTGCTCATCCCAGAGGGTTCAACAATGAATGATACTATATTCAGTGGACATGGCCTAGGTCATCAGTTAAGGGGTTTGGTCTCTTTCAGGACTGATCATCACCACAATGCCTGCCACTTGGGGTACAGATCTGCAGAAAATCATGCAAGAAGAGTGAGACTTCAATTATGTGGGACAATGAAATCCCCAAAACAAAATCAGAATCCACCAGGAGACCCCACCCACCAGCATCCATCACTATCCTGTCAGTGTTGGACCTTTTCAGAAAGGCTGTTTGTACCACCTAGGTGACCCATACGCAGACTCCACCCAAAAGAGTCTGCATTTCAATTACATACCTCCACATTTTGGGTGGGGGGGGGGGGGGGATTACCTTGGATGGGACCCTCAGGAATGCGGGACTCAATTCTGTTTCTTGTATTTGACGTGGATGAACAGCCCATCCTGGGTGCTACAAGAAAGAAAGTGGTTCAGTGGAGGGCGGTACACTAGATGATCAGAAAGTCCTGTGGGTGGAGTTCATGTAAAGAGGCATTACAGGGTGTGGTCATCCCCAGCACAGCCAGGGCAGCATACACTTACTTGTGTTTCTGCACAGCGATGGATGGGTGATCGAATCTCACTAACATCACATCCAGATCTACAGGGGTGCTACATCCTCATAGCCAAAGGACACATCCAGCTCCTCCAGAGAAGTGTTTGCATCGATGACAGCCATGAATTCCTCAGTGCAGGAGGAGGTCAGCTCACAATACCCCACTCTGTACAATGGAGACAAGGAGGTAAGTATGGAGTTTTACTCCAGGGACCTGCACTTACCATGAGGGAGGAGTCACCTGACTGTCTGCAGAGCACAGCCTGGAGTCTGGAGGGCCTCACACAGCCGCTTTACTCCAGAGTCCTCAAACTTGTTTCCTGCCAGATCCAAGCTGGTTAGTGATTGGTTGGTGAGGAGGGCGGAGGCCAGATCCTGGAGGGAGGAGGAGGACAGGTCACACCCATACAACCTGGGGGAGGGAACATGGAGGGTCAGCTTCATGCTGGACATGGATGACAAAACGTGACAATGCAGAGCAAAGGGAGAGCTACCTGTAAGGGCCCCGGGAACCCACAATACATACACATGGGCCCGGGAGGCCACCACCACAAACATAAATAGGGTACTAAGAGGCCACAGACACCACATACATACAGCCCTGGTAGGCCACAATACATACACAGGGCTCTGGGAGGCCACAGCCACCACATGCATACTACTGTGGGTTACCTCTACTCATGAACTCCAGCAGTGTGCAACTTAAGGAATGGGGCCACTTGGGGTAATAGCAGTAATGGGGGACTTTTCCAGGTGGGCTGCACTTGGTTGGGGGGCAGTTTCTGGACGATTGGTCCAACTGTCATTACATGGTGTATATAGGACTCACTTCAGCTCCTGCAGGACACAGCGTGGGTCTCCCAGTCCTTCACACAGAACCTTCACTCCAGAATCCTCCAGACTATTCCAGGAGAGATTCAGTTTGGTCAGAGACCGGCTGGTAGCGAGGACGGAGCGGAGGTCCATGCAGGATGCCTGGGTCAGCTCACAAGTGGTTAATCTGTGAAGAGAAATACATATGAAAAAAACCACCCAATCAGCTCCTGGGACCTGGCGCTAGACTTGAGCCCCATTGGCTGAACTCTTACTCCATCTCCTGCACAGTACAGCCCGGGTCACACAGTCCTTCACAGAGGAGCTTCACTCCGGAGTCCCCAAGCTTGTTGTCCCTCAAATTCAGGTTGGTTAGGGTCCGGTTTGTAAGAATGACCGATCGGAAATCCTCGCAGGATGAGCTGGTGATGTGATTCTCAAACAACCTGCATAGAACAAAGGCCATGTGACCACCCAGATCATGTGACCAGGAGCCCACCCATGGACAATCTGCATTCATTCAGTCTGTTCACCATTGGTGGGAAATACAAGAGACTGTCCACACTACACCAATTCCAGGATATGTTGTAGTAAGAAGGGGAGGAGAAGATTAACTAGCAGTGGGAGGAGCGACCATACTGAGCATTTCCAATCCAGTCACCCTGCGGGGGGTATGGATTTACATGGCAACCCTGGGATCTGCTGAGGGCCTATATCTATCAAAATTGGTTCATACTCTGCATCATCCTACACCCAGATCTACTCCCCACAAGTACATTACAACAGTTCTCTCAGCCTGTTCTATAATGGGCCCATCAGACCAACTCCCCACCACCAATTGGCCCACCAGAACTCACGCCAGCATCTTCACAGAGCAGTACGGCTGGCGGAAAGCCTCACACAGCATCTTGGCCCCAGTGTCCTCGAGGTTGCACTCTCTCAGGTACAGGGTGGTGAGAGATCGATTGGTCATCAGAGCAGAGCGGAGGAATTCACAGCAGGCCGGAGTCAGATCAGAGAACTCAATCCTGGAAGGGACAAGTCTAGTTAGAACTTATGGCTCGACTTTACCAGTAATATCTACAACCTAATACACTACGAGAGATTTGGTGCCAAAACTGGATGGCACGTGGAAGGAAGGCTGGAACCCATCAGGTTCTGTGACACCGGTACAGTTATACCTCTATATAGGGCTGAGAGGGAAAAGAAATCCAATATTGCAAGTTTTGGACAGAAAAGTAATAGTGGAAATCCTCTAATGTGGACCCCCGTTCTGGTGACAGCCTACAAGGAGGTTTCCATCAGTTCCTGTTGTGTCTACAGGACAGACCTTCTGGTCCTCCTGCTATGTCTACAGGACAAGAAGTGATTAAATTTCCAGGATGCGGCAACCCTTCTGGTACTTCTATTATACGAGTTGAAGACTCACCTCAGCTCCTGCAGGGTACACCCCGGAACCTCCAACACTTCACATAGAAACTTCACTCCCTCATCCTCAATTTTATTCAGTGCCAGATCCAACTTGTGTAGAGATCGGTTTTCTTTCATGGCGGAGCCAAGGATCTGACAGCTTGGGGCAGTCAAGTTGCAGTCATCAAGCCTGCAAACAAAAGTCAGAGCCTCATAATTGGATATCTGCCATCCCGTGAACTTAGATTGGACTATAAAGATGTCTGAACTCAGGGAGAGACCAACAACCGACATATCTGGACGTCCCTCATTACCCTGACATTGCCTGAGATGGAGGGGAAACTCAGAATCCTGATCTCACCTGGGGGTACAAACTGAGTGGTGGGGGGTCGGCTTAGGATTACTCTTCAAATATCAGTGACCCCGCCCCCTACCAAGAGAGATGGACAGCCAACCAACAATGTCCCATTGGCTGATGGACCTTTTCCAGAAGAGTAGAGGCCATTACTGCAGGAAGACCAAACTTGGCTGGATGGAGGGATAGACCTGTCATTGCGTTGGCTATCTTAATGCAGAACTTCTTACCATCAACAATGGGGGCGTGACCTCTCATGGCTATGTCAGCAGCAGAGAATTGTCCAATATATGTGTTGGCACTCAGGTCTGTTCTCCCAGTCCCACCCCCTCCAGGAAACCGCTAAACCAGTCCCTTCACCACCAGTAGGAGCCTGCCACCCCAGTAGTCCCACCCCCCAGAAGAGACTTCCCCACACTAGTCCCACCCCCATGCCCTCCATCCAGGAGACTGCCCCCCCCCACCAGGAAGAAGCTGCCCCCCCTACCAGTCCCACCCCCTGCAGGGAGATGCTGCCCATACCTCCCCCCCCCCCCCCCCCACTAGTCCCACCCCCCAGAAAAGACTTCCCCACACTAGTCACACCCCCATCCCCCCCCCCCCCCCACCAGGAGGAGGCTTCCTCCCCCCACCACCAGTCCCACCCTCTCCAGGAGGAGGCTGCCCACTGCCCCCCCACCAGTCCCACCCCCATCCCCTCCAGGAGGAGACAGACCCCCACACCCTCTAGAATACTTACGACAGCTCCTGCAGGACACAGCCCGGCTGGCGCAGGCCATCACACATGGTTTTCAGAGCAGAGTCCTCCAGAGTATGGTGACCCAGGACAAGTTTGGTGAGCGATCGGCTGGAAGAAATAACAGAACGGAGATCCTCGTAGAAGGATGGGGTGACCACAGAGACCTGAAACCTGTGAGGAGAGCAAAAGCTTCAGGATTGTAGTCCAAGATGGCAAAAAAGTCCAACTCAAACCAGAATAAAATCACAACTTGGCTCCTTTACTGCCTTGAGAACCCAGATCAGGAATCGGTGGGACCTATATTCCCAGCTAACAGTCCCATGTAGGGAACAGATTGTAGACTCCTGGGGACAGCCCATGAGGAAGGTGGTGATGGGACACTAAAATCCAGAGGTCTGCATGTCCACCAGTGAATAAAGGACCCAGAGGTTTTCTACCATGCAGAAAACATTTCTATTTATGATGAGCACTTCTGAAAATTGGAAGGACACCATGACTACCCTGAGGTTCAAATCTAGGTCACCAGCAGCCTGATGAGAGCATAGGGAAGAGGCCAGAAGGGCACAAACTTACTCCAGTTCTTCGATCTTGCTGTCCTGTTTAGACATCCATGAAGCCTTTCCACCCCTCGCAAGGTCCTCAGCAAAGCCACACCGTGAGAAGCTGAAGGAAAAAATACAAATGATCTCTCAGAAACCAAACAATTATTTTACAAGACAAACTTCTGAAGCCAGGAGCCCATGGAGACCAGAAATACATCAACTCAACCAGAACACAAGCCACTCCAAACCTCGACCAGGACATTCACCATCAACAACTAAAGCCAGCCATAGACTGTTCAAATCTTTGCTGGTTCAGCAGGAACTCTTGGGATTTGAACCATGTATGGGGAGGCCAAATGTAGCGATCAACTTAGGTACAACCAGCCTACTGCTAGCAAATAATCCCTGTTCTCCCAGCAAGGACAGCCCCCCCCCCACCAGAACACAATGGCTCGGCGAGAGGGATCCACCTTGTCACTGTGTTGATGGGGGAAACTCAAGTGAATTTCTTTAAAAGCTGAGAAATTCGCTTAAGTCTTTGGCCTCCCTAAGAAACAATGGCCATGGACAGTGGATTAGGTCCAGCACTGTAGAAGGTCATGAATTACAGGTGAGACCTCTATACACAACACCTAGGGTACGGGTATGGTCAGGACAGCCTTCCAGTGATGTTAGATGATCACAATTATGGAAGGGTTTCCATACCAGATCTCCTGGTTCTCCAGCTGAAGGCAGTTTGGGGCGTTTTGTTCTAGGAGGTAGTCCATTCTACATGATGCTGGACATTCCAAGGCCTTCAATTTACCTTAAATCTACAGACTACAAAAGACAAACGTAAGCATGAAGACTTGACCCCAGCAGTAATGGAAGATCCATGTGTTGGTGTGACCGTTCATGACGTCCTACAAGAAAGGTCTCTAGACATCAGAGATGTTAGTTTGGGGTAAAGGGACTACAGAAGAACACTTACCAAAGCTTTGAGGAGCTATGGAAGAAGGGAGACAGCAATTCCAGGTCTCGGGGTCTCATCAGCTGATCCTCCAGGCGGATGGAGACAAAGCTCCTCTGGTCTGCCAGACAATACAGCATCTCTCTGATCCGTACATTCTCCATGGATGAGCTGTAAAAACACGGCTCAAACACCAGGTCTTTGGCACTGAACACTCGGCTGCACAGCTCCTTGTCCTGAGCCTCGTAGAAGCAGGTTAGGGCATCAGTGCAGAGCCTTCCATCAACAAGCCATTTCTCCATGGCAGATTTGGCTCGTAAGGAAACGCTAGACCCAAGGCCTTCCACAAACGCCTTTAACTGATCATTATTCAGGAGGCCAAAGAGGAACTGTATGGTGGAGTTCAAGTATGGCTGATTTTCAGCCTGAAAAATCAGAGATCTTCCTCTGCAGACTCTCGGGAGGAACTTATCTCCACTCACCATGCCGGTCTCTTTAACCTCAGCATCTTCATCCAACACATAATACAACGCAGCAAAGAAATCCTGAATGCTCTTGTGACTGACTGAAGCTGTAGTTGGTTGTGGCTTCCACATCCTTCAGGAAAATGCTGTCATCTGGGAAGACAGAAGCTACCGCCGATATAGTCAAATCACACAGTCTAAGACCTTCCTCATCAAACAAGCTCTTCTGACTCAAGGTGCCTTCGATGGCCAAGGCACAGAGGTTCTGCAGACACTGGAGTGCAGCCTGGTTTCCACCTTGGTTGAGGAGTAAGCTCCTGAGATACGACAGGTAGACGGAGGTGAGGGTTCTACACTTTGCTGGGCTCAGCTCGTTCTTCATTCCCGCCTTCAGTATCTTACAGACAAGCCAACAGGTCAAAGGAACTGAAGACAAATCCAACAGAACTTCATTTTCTCTCACCACCGAGATTGCCTGGTCTGCCTCATCTTTGTTTTTGAAGAAGTTGTGGAAATATTCTTCTAAATCTCCTTCCGACAACCCGAGAAGGTCTACAGAACAAGGGGACTGAGTGAGCTCCTTCATCTTTGGGAGGCACATGGATCTGGACGTGATGAGCAGAGAGGTTTCAGGAAGGATAGATTTCCTCAATAGGCATCTTAGGAAGGTGTCTTTGTGGGTCTGTTGGAAAGGGTCATCACAGTCCTCATCGTCATCTTCCATGGTCCACCTCAGCTCATCGAACCCATCGAGAACGATCAGAACCTTGGAAGGATCATTGAAAGCCGACTTGATCATATTCTCTGGGAACTGCAGCTTGGAGCAGCTTTTGGCCACAAGTCCTTCAATATCGATATTGCTGTTAATCTTATTTATTTTTCTGCTGTTCAAGTAAAACAGAAAACTAAAACGGTCGGCGTAGAGGCTTCCAGAGGCCCAGTCCAGCATGATCTTCCGTGTGGTCAGAGTTTTCCCTATTCCAGGAGGTCCCACCAACACCACAGTCTTGGGGACAAACCCGCTGCCATCAGGAACAAACAGGTCCTGGACCTTGGATGGGGAATATCGGTCTGAGGACTCGGTGACCTCGGCCCGCTCAAGTAAAGTGCCAGAATAAGGTATTGTACCATTCTCCTCCCGATTAACCTGGAGGGGGCGGAGCCTGGGATATCTCTGCCCAAGGCTGACAACCTTCCCCACATGGGAGTCATGGGCTTCAATGTGTTGGAAGATTTCTTTCACAGATGCCAGATATTTGGATTTCCATTCTGTGGAGGAGAAATGTGGATCAAGTTGAGGAGCAGCAGATAGGTTTATACTTCACCTTTTATCTTATGGAGCGTTCCTATTCTTCTCGACGACCGACTCCCGAACATACATGGACCGCAGAAATTATTAGAACTCCGCCCTACACCAGCCTCTGCCCACCCCTCTACACTGGCCTCCGCCCAGCCCACCCACCCTCTTCGTATATATGGGGGGGTATTAGTTGGGGGTGGAAGTGTTGCTTGCCATACCCCCTAGTCTGGGAGACTTCCTCATTGCTGGTTTGGATGACAGGACCCCCAATGCTCGCCCCCTTCCCCATCCCTACACAGCAAGTCAGAGGGGAGGGGCCCACAGGCTACATCCGAGGGGAGGGGCCCACAGGCTACATCCGAGGGGAGGGGCCCACAGGCTACATCCGAGGGGAGGGGCCCACAGGCTACATCCGAGGGGGGAGGGGCCCACAGGCTACATCCGAGGGGAGGGGCCCACAGGCTACATCCGAGGGGAGGGGCCCACAGGCTACATCCGAGGGGGGGGAGGGGCCACAGGCTAGGGGCCCACAGGCTACATCCGAGGGGAGGGGGCCCACAGGCTACATCCGAGGGGAGGGGCCCACAGGCTACATCCGAGGGGAGGGGCCCACAGGCTACATCCGAGGGGAGGGGCCCACAGGCTACATCCGAGGGGAGGGGCCCACAGGCTACATCCGAGGGGGAGGGGCCCACAGGCTACATCCGAGGGGAGGGGCCCACAGGCTACATCCGAGGGGAGGGGCCCACAGGCTACATCCGAGGGGAGGGGCCCACAGGCTACATCCGAGGGGAGGGGCCCACAGGCTACATCCGAGGGGAGGGGCCCACAGGCTACATCCGAGGGGAGGGGCCCACAGGCTACATCCGAGGGGAGGGGCCCACAGGCTACATCCGAGGGGAGGGGCCCACAGGCTACATCCGAGGGGAGGGGCCCACAGGCTACATCCGAGGGGGGGGCCCACAGGCTACATCCGAGGGGGAGGGGCCCACAGGCTACATCCGAGGGGAGGGGCCCACAGGCTACATCCGAGGGGAGGGGCCCACAGGCTACATCCGAGGGGAGGGGCCCACAGGCTACATCCGAGGGGAGGGGCCCACAGGCTACATCCGAGGGGAGGGGCCCACAGGCTACATCCGAGGGGAGGGGCCCACAGGCTACATCCGAGGGGAGGGGCCCACAGGCTACATCCGAGGGGAGGGGCCCACAGGCTACATCCGAGGGGAGGGGCCCACAGGCTACATCCGAGGGGAGGGGCCCACAGGCTACATCCGAGGGGAGGGGCCCACAGGCTACATCCGAGGGGAGGGGCCCACAGGCTACATCCGAGGGGAGGGGCCCACAGGCTACATCCGAGGGGAGGGGCCCACAGGCTACATCCGAGGGGAGGGGCCCACAGGCTACATCCGAGGGGAGGGGCCCACAGGCTACATCCGAGGGGAGGGGCCCACAGGCTACATCCGAGGGGAGGGGCCCACAGGCTACATCCGAGGGGAGGGGCCCACAGGCTACATCCGAGGGGAGGGGCCCACAGGCTACATCCGAGGGGAGGGGCCCACAGGCTACATCCGAGGGGAGGGGCCCACAGGCTACATCCGAGGGGAGGGGCCCACAGGCTACATCCGAGGGGAGGGGCCCACAGGCTACATCCGAGGGGAGGGGCCCACAGGCTACATCCGAGGGGAGGGGCCCACAGGCTACATCCGAGGGGAGGGGCCCACAGGCTACATCCGAGGGGGGGCCCCACAGGCTACATCCGAGGGGGGGGGCCCACAGGCTACATCCGAGGGGAGGGGCCCACAGGCTACATCCGAGGGGAGGGGCCCACAGGCTACATCCGAGGGGAGGGGCCCACAGGCTACATCCGAGGGGAGGGGCCCACAGGCTACATCCGAGGGGAGGGGCCCACAGGCTACATCCAATCCGTAGAGAAGGGTGTGGGGACAGGACGTACATCTCCCGGGGAGGGGCCCACAGGCTACTCAGGGGGAGGGGCTCCACAGGTGCCGAGCAGGAGGGGTACAGACTTCACCTCCGGAGGAAGAGAAAAGATGAGGTCAGCAGGTGAGGGGAGGAGCCCACATCTATAACACCCAATCCTCCTCCCATCACCAATCTCCATCCGAGGGATCTTCCCCTCACCTCTACAGACACCACCCTATAGGCCACCTACCTATCCCCTGAGGGGTCCTCATGGTTTAGAGCCCACAGGCTACCGCCAGGGGACCCCAAAGGAGCCGCTCCTAGAAACCGAAGGGACTCCCACAGCTACATCAGCTGGAGGGGGACCCACAGTGGGCAGGGGGACCAGACCCCACCTACAACTGATGTCACACCTATGGGAGGAGTCCTGTGTTAGAAGTGTCTGCTGGAAGCTAAGTGGCATCCCACAATGACTCATCACACAGGGAAGGGGGCTCAGTCACCGAGGGAGGGGGATCAAGAGCTCACGGAGGGAGGGGGATCCTGGGGCCCACAGGCTACATCCTAGGAGGAGGGGTGAGAAAAGAGAGTCACGGAGGGGAGGGGACCTGTGAGACAGAGAGTCCGGCTGGGAGGGGGATCCTGTGAGCCCACAGAGTCACGGAGGGGAGGGGGATCCTACATGAGGAGAGGGGCACAGGCTAGGGGTCCTGTGGAGAAGAGAGTCACGGAGGGACAGGGGGATCCTGTGAGAAGGGGGCCCACAGTCACGGAGGGAGGGGGTTCCTGTGAGGCTAGAGTCCGGAGGGAGGGGGATCCTGTGAGAAGAGAGTCCGAGGGAGGGGGATCCTGGATGAGAAGAGAGTCACGGAGGGAGGGGGATCCTGTGAGAAGAGAGTCACGGAGGGAGGGGGAATCCTGTGAGAAGAGAGTCACGGAGGGAGGGGGATCACAGGCTACATGAGGGGAGGGAGAGTCACGGAGGGAGGGGGGGCATCCTGTGAGAAGAGAGTCACGGAGGGGGGGGGATCCTGTGAGAAGAGAGAGTCACGGAGGGAGGGGGATCCTGTGAGAAGAGAGTCTACGGAGGGAGGGGGATCCTGTGGGTGAAGAGAGTCCACGGAGGGAGGGGGATCCTGTGAGAAGAGAGTCACGGAGGGAGGGGGATCCTGTGAGAAGAGAGTCACGGAGGGAGGGGGATCCTGTGAGAAGAGAGTCACGGAGGGAGGGGGATCCTGTGAGAAGAGAGTCACGGAGGGAGGGGGATCCTGTGAGAAGAGAGTCACGGAGGGAGGGGGATCCTGTGAGAAGAGAGTCACGGAGGGAGGGAGGGGGATCCTGTGAGAAGAGAGTCACGGAGGGAGGGGGATCCTGTGAGAAGAGAGTCACGGAGGGAGGGGGATCCTGTGAGAAGAGAGTCACGGAGGGAGGGGGATCCTGTGAGAAGAGAGTCACGGAGGGAGGGGGATCCTGTGAGAAGAGAGTCACGGAGGGAGGGGGATCCTGTGAGAAGAGAGTCACGGAGGGAGGGGGATCCTGTGAGAAGAGAGTCACGGAGGGAGGGGGATCCTGTGAGAAGAGAGTCACGGAGGGAGGGGGATCCTGTGAGAAGAGAGTCACGGAGGGAGGGGGATCCTGTGAGAAGAGAGTCACGGAGGGAGGGGGATCCTGTGAGAAGAGAGTCACGGAGGGAGGGGGATCCTGTGAGAAGAGAGAGTCACGGAGGGAGGGGGATCCTGTGAGAAGAGAGTCACGGAGGGAGGGGGATCCTGTGAAAGAGAGTCACGGAGGGAGGGGATCCTGTGAGAAGAGAGTCACGGAGGGAGGGGGATCCTGTGAGAAGAGAGTCACGGAGGGAGGGGGATCCTGTGAGAAGAGAGTCACGGAGGGAGGGGGATCCTGTGAGAAGAGAGTCTCACGGAGGGAGGGGGATCCTGTGAGAAGAGAGTCACGGAGGGAGGGGGATCCTGTGAGAAGAGAGTCACGGAGGAGGGAGGGGGGATCCTGTGAGAAGAGAGTCACGGAGGGAGGGGGATCCTGTGAGAAGAGAGTCACGG